AAAGAAAGGAAAAAAATCTTCTTTATTGCCGATTTCATATTGTTTGTGCAGGTACGTCGGTTTTCAAGAATTTATCAAAAGTTTTAAAAAAATTGCCAGAAATCACATCACGCGTAATTTACACGATTAATTAAAACGCTTCAAGAGACTTTCGGCCAACCTCCAGTAATGGAGAAGCACTAAAAGAAGAAGTATACAGACTACTAGATTATAAGACAATTAAGTCAATGTCGATTTCAGCTATCTATCTATATATCTGTATAGATATTTTAGCCTACGAAATGCATTTTAATGCTGATAAATTAATATTTCAGACAATTAAATAATCGGAAATCGACTTTACAACGTAAATTTCTTTATTTGCCCGTTTTTTCGCAAAAGAGATTATGTATCTAGAAATACAAAAATTATTGACGGTTCTTTGTCCGTGATAAAAAAAGTCTCTTTTCAACACAGCAACAATGCAATTTAAAATAAAGAGACGAGAGAGTACTTTTCATGTGTTATACAAAAGTGCTTTAAAAATGTTGTTTTGACTTGATAGGTGGCTCTACCACCTTTTTAGGTTCTGGGCCTCAGATTTGTGTGTCTGTTTCATGATTTATCAATATAATGGGCAAGTAGGTGATCAGCATCCTGTGCCTGAGACACGCCATCGACATTTTGGGTCTAAGGCACGTTGGTTTCCCACGTTGTTTTCCTTCACCGTTCGAGCGAATGTTAAATACGTTCAGAAAAAAAGTCCATTGGTGCACAGCCGAGGATCGAACCTACGACCTCAGGTACGAGAGTCGCAACACTGCTGCGACGTTTTGACTTGCTTACTAGAAATACATAATAATTATTAAAAACATACTTATATAACCATACATTAAGATATCAATCATAAATCCTTAGTATATATCAATGTCGATTTCAGCTATCTATATGACTATATCTGTATTGATATTTTAGCCTACGCAATGGATTTTAATGCGGATTTATCAATAAACCGATGATTTCCCTATCTGTCGTCTTTTATTCTTAGAATTATAATTAATTTACAATTCACCGAATAAGATAAACCACCAAACACAACACACGTACAAAATAATGTTATGTATCTGGCAGGAGGCTCATCTGATGATTATTGATATCGCCGCCCATGGACATTGCCAGAAGGCTCGCAAGTATGTTGCTGGCCTTTTAGGTATTGGTACGGTATTCATACGACACTCTCTTTATAGAAAGAAGTGCGGCCTATAATAGCTAAAACTAAATACCATTTCTATATCAAACTTTATCTTAGTCAATGTACTTAACTTTCGCGATAAGTATGTTAAATTAAAGACAATTTGATAAAAAGGTTTTCGAGACAAATATAATTGATATTTTCAAGGTTTGTTTTTACAGCTTACTAAATGATAACAAAATCTTAATATAGAATAGAAATGTGATTGTTGTGTGATAACATATATGATATACATACATAAAATATGATAGATTTGTTGTGATAACATTATTTTAATGGAATAATTCGTTAGTTCAGAGGAGTTGTTCGTAATATCTGCAGCTGAGTTTCATAATCGGGCATCGAGGCAGAAAAAAAATCGCGACTAAAGATATATATATTTAGCGTCACAGAGGCAGATAAGATTTAGATATATTATTCAAATTAGTATAATAAATCCCATACGTGGATATTACTATATTACTAGTAGGTATTACTATATTTTTGATGGATTTAACTTTTAATCATCGATCCGCCATTTTTAATAAATTAAAAATATTACGCGCACCTAATTTCTTTGTAACAATTTTTATGGTAATCTATGGTTTTTTTTACGTTACTTACGTAAGTAGGTAGTTTAGAGCTAAGTGAAAAACAAAAAAATAAAAAACAAGAAGAGTGTAAGTAGTGTTATTGGACACTTTCTTATATTAAATATTATTTTTAGTAGACTTCATTAGACTTATTAGTTAGGTTAGATCGTAATGTTTGAGAGAGAGTGAGAAGGGTGAATTACCTTATAGAAATTCTATTTTTAAAATTTCGTAAAGAGAATTTATTAAATATTACAATTTTATATTTTATGCAAAATAATTTACTCAAATGACGAATTGTAAATTAAAATGCCACGTGTTTTTAGTATCGAAGAAATCAATTCAAAAAATCAAATTTATCATTTGTATTAATTTTCGACACTTTTAATATTTTAATGTCAATTAAGTCCATTAAATTCCTAACATATCTTCCTTTGTCCCACCCTCTAAGTCTCGGAAATCTAAAGTTTTAGATTGGTATAAATATGAACAAGAGTTCAAAATTAGTTTGCATAAGAAGTTTCACTTCTGACATGTGTACTTCGTACGCACGCACTTTTTAATCTAACAACATCCCTAGAATAACCACCAAACTTAGCACGGGTTGAATTTTGAATAACCAGACGAGCTATCATTCTGAGCGTAGCCTGATTACGTCTAGATATCAGATGTAATTAAATCATTACAGACAATTTTAATACGTAGCTGTAATCTATTACCGAACCTAAAATGTTTGGAAGGCCAGCAGTCCATAGATAATAAACATAATATATTTTGTTTTTGAAGTTATACTTCTTTAGGCGCGTTATGAAATATTGATGAGAGTGAAATTTTACGATACGCGCGCACCGTGACCCAAAATTAACAGAATAAAGTTGCCCACGGAAGATGCTACGGCATTGGACATAATTTAAAAACAACATTCGAATAATAATAGAATTTATGTTACACTTAATGTAAGAGAATAATAATAAATATTTATTTATTTAATTAGTCAAATGTAAACTGAACTTTATTGACTATAATGACTCCTTTTCCAGTCTTTGATTATTTAATTGTAATTAAATATTTGCATGCAATCAAAAACTATTTTTAATAATGCCAAAGAAGTATAACTTCTTACGCGCGTACATAAGTAGGTACACGCACCTTTTTTTATCATAAATCGTTCTATGCGCTGCGTCAGACGTCATGTGTTATTTCAAAGGAACGAGGGATTAGAGACTAGTGTTAAAAATACCGCCACAAATGAGATTATTTCTCCCACACTGCGCTTTTCATATCTTAGTTCAATACATTCAAAGGGTCGCACCTGTTCCCTCACACCTATTGTGGACGATAGCCGAACAAGAAATTTATGGTTTATGTATTGAATAAAAATAACTCAACGCTGGTAAAGAATATATTTTGCACGTAATAAGGCGTGTTACAGAGATCGAGCGATTTGTAGACATATTTTAAAGTCTATGGTACGAATGATTTGAAGTAGCTTCTAGAAATATTAAACTCCCAAAATTATCTTTAAAGCTGGGGCATATTACCATATGATTTAGTCTGCGACTTGAATTTAAGAGGACTAGCCTTCAATTCACGAAGGGTAGGGCAGACACTTGTGCCCTGATTTTATTTCACACTTTTATATGTATAGGTACAATTAATATGCGCAATGTGTGTTCGCCACTTAACCACTCTGACATAAACACACGCTTAAATTTAATCACTTTATCAATTGGGTTGAATACACATTCCCAATTTATTGTGTAAAGTTGAATACTTCATTTAATCTTTATAGAAAGTTAACAATCATCTTTGCCTGACAGACTCAATCGATTTTGGGTCTAAGGGTAAGATCGACTCTGAAGACACGATACTTAGCGCAAAGTATTACTTCTGTGCGTCAATATCCAATACATTTTGTACTCCCAATCATTCTATTTGAAACCTTAGTAATATCACTTTACTTGCCATATTTTTCTTAAGTCTTTGTGCACTAAGAAAGAAGAATCTAACCAGCCAAGTCACTCAATTGGTTGTCTAAAAATCTGATAACTTATTAACAAAAAAATATGTAGAAACAAGTGCTACTGGCAACTCACTTTCCTGGATGCATAATTGGAATCATGGAAACCAAATGGAGAAAGAGCCACCGTTAATTCACACTGACATGTAGCTGACAAAATATTCACCAAAGTGTCATAGGCGATGAACACCTTCCTACCATTCAAAGCTTGGCTTAGATGGCATTTTCCCAGGTCTACTAAGATAGAGTGGGAATCTAATACCAGACTATCTTGTCTCAGTTTTCCAAGTCTGCATAGCACATACCTCTGAAATAGAGGGAAGTCACAATCATATTCATTCAAAAACGACGTAGAGAGTACCCAAGCAAATTACTTTAGATCCATGAGCCTCATTTCTTTTTGAAGACGCTGAAGAGGCTGGGGTACCTGAAGATAAGAAGCCAGGTGTTTTTATCTAAATTGTTACACCCAAATCAACGCGCCCACAGCTTAGGCAAATCAACAGAATCTTCATTCCACAACGTTGTGTCTCTGAAATCAAAGTAGCCAACTTTTGAAGCATTTATGTATATAGTAGGCGCCATTGACAAAATTAATTTCACGCGTAACCAGAACACTAGGAACATGTAGAGTAGCATCAGCTCCTATAGATTGGATCAACAACATGTTAAAACAACGAGCATCGTAAGCAGAGGTTGCTCACAAGGCGGTGTTCTGTCCTGTGGAATCTAGTAGTTAACGAGCTTATAACATTGTATGACATGATGAGTAAAGTGCAAGAAGTGCATAACGAAATCTTATAAAAACAATTATAGAATCACCAACCTTAATCTAAATATTAAAAAATATTTGGAAGCCACTTAGTAGAGCGGCCTTTGGAATTTATATGGCCATTTTATATGGCAAACGAGTCTACGAAACAGCCATAAAAGGCAGCCCGCCCATGGACACCCATGTTGGTAGGTATATTTCCAGGAGTATCCTTGAAACATTTATATGTAGTTAAAAGTTGATCTAATAACTGCATAATTATCATAAAGGCCCTAATATGTACTTGTTAAATACTAAATTTTTCAATATCGTTACATAAAAAGACAATTTTCGCTGTTTAAAACCTCCTTTTGAAAATCGGTTAAGATCCGTTTCATACTATAAATATTCTCATTGTCCTGTAAGATGCGCAGTACGTTCTTAGATGGATATAAAAGGGGAAACGACATTTATTCAAAACAGTTTAATACGAAAAATACAAGTGATTACAATGAATACTGTTACGTACAGGTACTGTTATTAACGTAATTAATAGTTAACGTATTATTTTATTAAAACAACTTAATTAATAGTTAATAATAATATAATTATTAAATTTAAAAAAAAATCAGTGGCGCTACAACATTTTTCAGTCTGGGCCTCAGATTTCTGAATCTGTTTCATAATCAGATAATAAATCTAATTAATAATTAAATGCATGTTTACTACATTATTTACTTGATGGATAATTTAAATATAGTACTGAATTATTAAATAAAGTTGTGAACAGCGAGTGACTATATGTGATAAATTCGCGAGTTTTTTAATGCCTCTAAAATGCGTGATATCTTTAAATTAAGTTTTAAACTAAAGATTGGTTTTAATATTAGTTTATGTCTGTAGCATAACAAATCAGTTCTTATTATATCCTTATAACAAAAACACATGATTTTTTAACAGAAAATATAACCGACACCAAAATACACTAAAAAGTCTTCAACAATATTTCTTATTTGTATTATATAACCAAGAAAATTATAATGAATTAGTAGAATAGAAGGGTTAAGATTATTTTCGGTTATTCAGATCGGTCTTGGATCGGTTTTGCTTCAAAAAAATATTAATTGTAAACCTCCTATTTCGTGTTTTATGAAGTCCGTGAAAAATATGGTTTCAATTGTCTAGTTCAGATCATAAATCTGTTGCGTTCAGGCCCTGGAACTGTTGAAATGCAATCAATAAAGTATATGGTATTTCTGTCTTGCAATTTACGTCATGATTACCATTTTTTTAGCTGATGGTGGGTCAATACAAGTCTTCTTTTATACCTATATATTTCCAGTTTATCTCTCTATTTTCAATATTTTATTAATTTTATTGTATGCAATTGTTTATATAATTTAGAATAGTAATTACAATACGGCTACATTTATTTGAGGTCTGGTACGTGGTAGGACTAGGTATATTAAAAGTGGCGCTAGTAGCTAGTGTGTATTACTTTTTATTGCCAGTTATTTTTTAAAGTGAAAATTCATAGACTATGCAAAAAATATTTTGATTTATTTTATTGTATATTTTGATTTATAGTGGTAACAAATTGTAATCAGGACAATTGAATAAAAATAGGTGTAGTATCAATCAAATCACTAATCAGCAGTGTAAAGCAGCAGAAATGAGCAGTGTTGGCCTAGTAGCTTCAGCGAGCGACTCTCATCCCTGAGGTCGTAGGTTCGATCACCGGCTCGGCTCAGATCATTCGCTCGAACGGGGCACGATAACTTCGTGAGGCTTGCCTTAGACCCAAAAAATCGATTGTGTGCGTCAGGCACAGAAGGCTGATCACCTACTTGCCTATTAGATTATAATTGATCATGAAACAGATATAGAAATCTGAGGCAACCTAAAAAGGTTGGAGCGCCACTGATTTATTTACTTTTTTATAAATCAAATCAAGTTTTCAAAATTTTATTTGTTTTCAATGAAAGTAGGTAATTTAATCTATATTTATTAACACCAAAAATCTTTGGTTTAGTTTTGTGTATATAGACTTGAATTAGTAGGTTTTGATTTTCAAATATTTGAAACCAAATTAAAATATTTTTATATAGGTAACAAACAGAGCATCCATCAATAAAAATATTCTAAACTTACGTAGAGCGGAACCAGAAGACCTGGCAAGAAACTCTCGGCATTTTTTTTCCAATATGTTTGTTAGAAGCATACATTACCATTCTCAACATGATATATATTATATGACTCATAATAATAGAACCCACACACGTATTACGATGCCTCTTGATTCCCGTTTTTCCGAGTGCAATAATAATGAAATATTACTGCAGCCACCATTCTAGTAAGAAATGTGTCGAAAACTACAAAGAATAACGAGTTCGTCAACCACATTACTTCGTAATACCACTACGATTTTGGTTCATTATCAAGTGTTTTTACTAGTTAAACGAACATGTCTATTAAATAAAAAAAATACCCATAGAATTGTGTCTACTGGAATCCATAGATTTATAAAATAAAGTTTGTTGTTTTTAATAATTATGTTCCAGAATCCTTACGTTGGTGATGTTATTCACATTGATGATGGTGGTGACATCACAGGTGACGTTCAGTCGAGACTGGACTGGCGGCAAGCGGTCAGACACACACGTTGATTGTGGGCAGTTCACAAAATTGTGCAAACGGTTCATTGTAAGTAACATTTAGATTCAAATTAATTAATTCATTTAGGTAAAACAATGTAAAGTTATAAAGAAAAAACAAAGAAATACATATTAAATGTTTCCGTTTCTATAACGCTACAATTATGATGACACATGAATGAAGACTTGTATATTATTTTTAAGGAATCGAACAACTAATACTCGTTATATAATAATAATTGAGTTCATAGGAGAGGATAAAAGTATATTGTTTCTAAAATGCTCCACTATTATATTTTATCGGCATGAAATAAAATATACTTTTAGCGTTTGTTGTAATCCAGAAAGGGTCATTTATTTTTTGGAAGTTTAAAATTCGCTAGCTGGTCAATAAATAAATGGTTAAACAATTTAAGAGCAAATAGAGCAGGGTCTTTTATCATATATTTTAATAACAATTTATATATCAAAAGAGAAGGGTACGAAATGGAATGCTTAGGTGGTTTGCCCATGTAGAACGGATGAATTGTAGTTAACAAGTAGCATAAACAAGGCGACCGTGGATGGTGAAGTCGGGTTGGGTAAGCTTTTTCGTATCTGGACCAAATCAAGGAGGAACTAGAGAAGGGACAAGTTAAATGTACCCATAGTGAATGTCAGGGAAGTGGATGAAGCGAGAGGTATATCAGGACCGTAGCAAGTGGAGTGGTCTCTGCATACCACTTTGGGATGCGTGATGTATATAAATAAATTAATATATTTTCTAATGTAATAATCTTGTAATTGTGTTTATTTTATAATTATTTCAGCACGATCTAAGACAATTTATGTCATCGAAGAAGTTTGGTAAACATCGAAAGATGACTGAAGAAGACGACTTTGCTGTTTCCTACGATGACGATAAATAGTTTAAATTCGTCAACTAAAAACTTTCAAAAAACTGATATTCCAACTGAAATAAATATAGAACAAAATTGTAATTTTTTTAAGTGCAAGCTATTTTACATATAAAGCCTAACCGTACATGTACATATATATAAAAACGAAAAACAGTACAATAAAATTAAAGAATGGAAAATCGTGTCAGAAAAATCCGTCGAGATAGAATACGTAACTTCCGATTTCTTTTTTTTATACGGAATCATTATAACGAGCTATTTTCCTATATGAATGCTGTACATAAATTAGTTATTTATTTGTACAGTACTATAAATGACAACGCTGTCAAAAGCCTCGAGGTTTATATTGAATAATATTATTTACTTTTAATTTATTGCTTTATTATAATTTTTTAATGTCAATACAAGGGTACTTTGTGTATCTGTGACATGGTTCAATCTGGTTCACAGATTATAGTACGTATCGAAAAGTATTTAATGCCTGTAAAACTGGGGTTACTAAAATGACATTTAATTTGTGTAGATTGACTATTTAATCAATGTATGAATAAATATATCAATTATACTAGAAATATCTTAGTGTGTATAATTAAATAATTACTAATAAACAATGGTTTTATTTAAATAAAAAAAAATAATAATACACATTTATTGTTAATTGATTTTATGTACAGGTATTGCATAATCATAATTAAAACCGATACATAGGTAAATTATATGTTTCATTTAAAACACAAATTAATTCAACTATAAAGCAATTGTTTGTAATAATTTTTATAAACTATTGAATAAGGACAATGTCTCTTGTACAATTAAATCATCGTAAAAAGTAATAAATACTATTTTATATTGAATACTTGAGTAGCGCTCCGTGGGCGTATTTGGAACCAAACGGTAGCTAAAAAATATCCAAGTAGAGTCAACTCTAGGGTAGCCGCTGTATTATGTAGGAAATTTTTGAAAGTTTCAAAAATCAAATATGATAAATGATTAATAAAAAATTAATATAACAGCTTAATAAAAAAATCCGTATAAAATATTGAAACTGACTTATTGTTACTTATATGTTTTTTTATTTGGCAATATTGCATACGAAACGAATGAACGAATAAACAATTATGATATCTTACATAAAATTGTTGAGAAATAATACCGAATTTAATTCTACCTTGAATAATTCTAAATTATACACAAAACTAATTAATACATAGAAATAATTCATTCGAGTTTTGCATAAAATATCGTTCTTACATGACTTTTAAAAAACAGAATGACACATTGAAAGCTCAAAGAAATACATGTTATAATAAAGTACATGTACCTGCTAATAATAAGAAATTAAATTATTAATACAAATTAGATAATTTAGAATTAAACATTAGTTTATCCAAACGCTTTACCTAATGTCGTATCCAATTTAATATTGAACGTCATAATTATGACTAAGTATTATAATTTATAAAAAAAATGAAGTCCACGAATACTTCGATATTTTTATATGAGGCTTTTTTAATCTAGTTTTAAAACGTTATAAATATCCTACATTGCATTATCGTATTTATCGCAAATCCCTTAAACTTCCTAATTAGTACTAAAGATGTAAAATTGACCAAAAAGTAAATAACTGAATTGTAACCAATTTTCGTCTTTTGTTATAAAACCGTAAAAGTTTGGTAACGTAAAGTAATACAAATTAGTTTCCAAATATCAAATTGGAACAATTAAAATTTTATTAATGTCATATAACCCTCTTAAATTGCTAACATTAAAAAAAACTTGTTAAATAATTTTTTCGGTTATATCGACAAATTTATTTGGAATAAGGGGCCGTTCAAGTATTACGTAAGCATAATGGGGAGTCGGTTTGATTTTCTTATTTGGTGATTACGTCAACAGTAATTTTACTTTTTTACACAAATTACCCACACATTGTCTATACTTGAAAACCAAATGCATTATCGAGGTTCCTACAAAAAATCAACACGTTTTTAACACGACAAGAGGAGGGGGGGGGGACTATAAATTACAGTAAATCTGCTTACGTAATTCTTGAACGGCCCCTAACTGTCTTTATTTGACATTTCTGTCAATCGCCTTAACTATAAAACATGAATTACTCGTCTTCTTCGATGCAGCACCTCACATACTCCAAAGCACTATTCAGCATCTCCAACCACAAATCTCTATCTTTCGGTGTGTCCGCGGCCAACAGATGTCGCCTCCTCACAACCCCATCCGATCCCTTAAAGTACACGAGGGAGCCCGAATCTGGGACTATGAGACCGGCAGGCACCGATGTCTCGAGCAGGATAGTGTTAGGCCTAGCGCAGAGGTCCCTGGGGGCTCTTGTGACCCGGTCGGACGTGACCGTTGTGAGGTCTATATCACCGATTGGCATCTGGAATGAAAGGGGCAAGTTATTCATAATGAGCAGTGTGGCGTGTGTCAAGCACATAAGATTGACAAATGATCATGAAACAGATACAGATATCTGAGGCCCAGACCTAAAATGGTTATACAAACAAATCTTATTATCATATCAATCCATTCTCGCTCACTTACTTTCTTCTGAACATCATCAGGGTATTTCCAGAAGGAGAGCATCGGTGGTTGCAAACGGAACCAGCGTCTGTGCCACGCCCCTAGACCACTGACGTCATCAAAGGCGGTAAGAAAGGCCGCATGAGGGGGCGGGGCCGAAACGCGTACGCGCGCCCGTATGTCTACGTGTATGTTGCCTTCTAGAGGACTACCGCTTGGAACCTATTGGCAATATATTTATAAGTTATTCATGAGAATATTCTCATACAAATTTTATTACAATACCAGCTCATGCTTGTTATAATTTTTTTTAATTCGCAACAAAATATGAAGATAAATGCATTTAGGCTCTAATTCTTATGACTCTGACTTGTATCCAGTTTAAATTAAAAAAAAAAAACAATATCTAAACTTAACAGTCTCTCGCTGACATAAAAAAGCGCTAGTCCTGTTAGTTTAAAATCACGTTTTAATTTAAAGAAAAAAGTCCTTATACGATATAAAAGTATTGAAATCTTCAAATAAATTTACTTTATTAAGCGTAAAACTCTTCCTATTAGCTTGCTGCAATGCGAATATACAATATCCGTGAAGCTGGAATTGTGGTGTCCGCACACTGTGGGGTCCCGCCGGACTTTGGACTCTGGGCGCTTTTAATTCTGACACTTTTGACTTCGGTGTTAGAAGTTTTGAGTTGCCCTGAAAACATTAAACATCGTATATAAAAACTAATAAGTGAATAATTTTCATAATCTAACAAACTGAACAAAAAAAAGTGTGTGCGTGTAACCTTTACGCGCGATTGAAGTAAAACTTCTTTGCCATTGACGGCATATATCACTGAAATGATTAAATATTAACTTAAATAATAAATATCATATTATAATTTAATTATATTTATTATTCAAACATTATTCAAATACGAAGTTTAGATCAGCACATGTCAATAAAACCTTGTTATTGAAGATTATGAATGAATGTCGCAATCGTCAGAAAATTTATTATTAATTTACTTATTATAAAAGTATTATTACTTTATTATTAATAAGTATTATATTATCTATATCTATCTATCTATATATTAAAAAAACTTTGCAATTTAAAACATTTAAACTGTTGAATTTTCACTTTTGTTTTTACTCACTTTTATATTCTCATATACAACTTGGTTACTTTTATATAAAATAGACCCGATTTTTAAGATAATAATTTGGTATTAATTTACTTCTTCCAAAATGGTAAAATACGAAATTAAGCGAAAAAACTGGCCTACTACTATGTATAACAAAAGAAAAGCAAACTAGGATGGGAACCTTCCCTCTTTAGTGGAATTTTAATTTGGTTACATGTTACTAGTATGGATTTTCATTTTAAATATAAATATACTAATAATTAAACATAATTACAAGAATCAGTATCAAATAAAACGGGTGAATGCTATCCTAAATAAACACTACCAAGAATCTGACTTAAATCAGTTCAAATAATGCACCACTAGATGGCGCTGACGGACTTATAAAACGCGCTATCGTATTATTTTGAATAGCGGAAACTACGTTTAAGCGTTACTTCCGTCAGAAAAAATCTGAGTTACTCCCTAAAGATTAAATTACTCACTTTTTTATTTGAAATGTGATATTTGACATCATGTGGTAAAAGTTCTATTGAGGCTTGCAGTAAATATACTTCGACCGTAACCTGAAAAAATATTTTTTTTAATGCAATTTTATATTCTATATCCAAAAACAAATCTACACTTACATTTTGAGAGTATAAACTTAACATTATTTTATAAAAGAACTAACATTTAACTCATTTGTATAAAAGAGCATTCAAGTATTACGTAACGAATGTTTTTCCTGTTGTAAAACGTTACGATACGGGGCGCGGATTGAGTGACGCGTTATTGTTAATATTATTTTCGACTTTCCAGTACTTTAAACCACATAGTAACTTTTAGGTATAAAGAGTCACTAGGTGGTCACGAAACGTTTTACTATACTTGGGTACAGAAAAACGTTACGGCAAGTTACTTGGGGGGGAAAGGGTTTTTTTTTGTCAATAATCTCCAAAAAATTGCGTGACTTATTTTATATAGTATACATAATTAAGATTAATGGTTTATGAGCATATCTTTAAAACTATTATTCAAAAGGTATAAATTACAAAATTAAGTAGTTCACTCTCTCATTGACTATAGAATAAACAGAGACAGCATTACCTTAAAATCACTCGCCAATCCGTCCATACTTATTTCGTCAGGGAAGTTGAGTGGAGCGTTGGGTTTAGTCAGTTGCATACTACTTGCCAAAACTCTGTCTCGGCATTTGAGAAGACACACCGCGTGATGCCCTACAGCGCCATCTAGCAATTTCAAAATATCATTAGCCTTAAATATTGGGGCGGGTAACGATTTTTCGTCGCCATTATGAACGTACGTACGTATACCTTAATTGTCTCGATTTGTAGTAATATATCTTAAAATACAGTAAATTGTGACGGTCATATATTAGAGTCTGTGCGGGAAGAGAACCGTTGCGGGATTTGGTGTCGCTACGGTAAAAAAAAATTCTGTTGACAGTGTTCGATATTATTGTTCGACAGTAATAGTTTTGATACTTAATAAATTATATATTTTTTGTTAATAAATGAAGTTACACATATCAAATAAGAATTATATAAGTTTGCGTAACCGTCACATCAGTTCTGTTTCCGCGCAGAGAGATATTATAAAAATACCACATTTTTTCTGTATATGTAAATATCAGCTTTTGTTTTATTTTTTTTTTAATTCTCATACATAAGGAAAGTCAAAATAATTGAGGTCCACTGCAATGTCTAGATAGAATTGTGAATTAAATAATCATATTAAAGCTATACAATTGGGCCCGTAATGTTATATTTGGCCTCTTAGTCTTCGCCCATCATCACACTCACCAGCATGCAGCTGCCTGACGTAATCCCTGCGAAGTGGCACACGAATGTTCTGAATGTGCAGTGAGGCCATCCCAGCTGTGGCTGCAGGTCCGGCGCCTTCCACCTGCAACCTCTGCATTTCATGGAGGCAGGCTTGACGGCGGTGGGCTGGAATATTTACGAATCATGTGATCATGTCTCTTAAATTAAATATAGTCCTAGAAATTTTAAACAAATTAATAATATTTTATTAACACAATGAAATATAAAAATAAAATATCAATGACCAAGGCGCAGAAATATCTTTCCCGTGTCAAGTTTTTTTGACTGAGGCTAAGGGAAGACTTTTTACTAAACTGTCATATTTAAAAAACTGTCAAGTTTCTTAAATATGACAGGGGCAGACATAACTTGACGCGGGAGAGATATTTCTGCGCCGTGGTCATTGATATTTCTTGTTTATATTTCATATGGGTGAACTTCAGCAGAATTCTGCAAATTCCAGAGGCAAGGAATAGACAAACTGTGTTACTATTTATTGTATTATTTACCATTTACTAAGGTGCTATAATTAATGTTTAAAAAATCTACCAAAACCACTTAATAATACACACTTGCTAATAATAGTAGTCTCTCTCCTTCAGCTTGTTCCGTTGAACCACTGAATTCAATCGTAGCAGCGCATAGATTTAATGCTTGACTTGCCTGAAAATTTTAATTATTATATTAAAACAAAACACGGTTTATATCAAGAAGATAAGCTCAACAATTCATAAACTCAATAAACTTAGTTATTTCTCTTATTTGTTTATCAAAATGTTTTATTTTAGAATAGGGACTTTTAGATTTTTTTTTAAATTTAATTCCATTTTCCATTTTTATTTTCATATTAAAATATCCACCGATGAGAGCCTTATTTCTCACAGAGCTAACTGCAACACCACTAACCAAAGATAAAGTAAAATCAATTCAGACATTGGCTTGCACGTGCGTTGCCAGTATTTTTAGTACAAAGTAAAGTGTATATTAACAGTTTGCTAATTGTGATATTCAGAAATTAGTGAGCTAAGTGTGTCTCCCGTACGTCAAAACCATATTGAATTTTTACTCTAAGAACAAAGACTGTTTATATACCGGTACGAGCCAAGGCTGTACATATGCTCACTCAGGCTTTCTTAGTTGTATAAGCGTGGCGATTTCCTAAATCGTCAGAATTACGCCCCGAGAGTATAGCCAGACGTAGGCACTCTCTTCAACAGGTACATTGCATTCATTCGTAACAAAGCAATTAATTATTTCGCTTACTGTTGTACGCGAGTGGTTAATATAGAGTAAAAATAAAATCCTGTATTAATTAAAGCAGCCCGATGACCCAGGAACCGCACAATACCTGTGATATAACAGTCTGCTGCTTCGATATCTCCCCCTGCAACTCCTTGATGCGCTGACGCACAGTAGTGACGTTCGGCACTTCAGACGTTGGTGGGGCCTCGCGCTCAGGTGACGTGTGACGAACAACGCGCATTGGTGTCGATGGTGTGCTCGACTGGAAATTTTAATAAATAAACTGTTAAATTAAGAAAAATGTTTCGCGAAAGTCAAACTGTGATGGCGCCTTTTTTTGTGTCTAAGGGTGCATACAGACTATGTAACATATTATATAACTTGTGTTTTATAACACGTCCACATTATGTAACCTGGGGCCTTAGTCAAGATGCCTTAACAGTAGTGTATGTAGAACGTCAAAAACTAAATTTGTATGAAAACTTTTCGAAACGAACTGTCATTTCCATACAAATTTAGTTTTCGACTTTCTACATACACTACTGTTAAGCCATCTTGACTAGACCCCCTTGTTATTTAACATTATAACATAAAACAATACTGTACACATTAGAATAACAATGCAATATAACAATGTTATATAACCATTTTAAATAACAAAAGAAAAACAAAAAAACGTAGATGCTGGGTTCGTCCTAGCATACATATCAATAACATGTTATTATAACATGTTTTATAACATTCAGTGTCCACATTATCTGAAACATGTTGTATAGCAATGTTGTATAACATGTTATGTTATATAGTCTGTACGCACCGTTATTTGTTACTTCTATGTATCATTCATTGTTGTTTCTTTGTATTATTTTATAAAACAAACAAACACCACCACAAAATCACAACCTTATGTAGGTTGTGATTGTGTATGATGCATATAAGCAACCCAAAAAAACGCAATTTTTTGCCCAAAACTTTTTCTCCTTCCGAATCCCTTTCATCTAAAAAAAGTTGAAAAATAATAAAGATTCTACAACCATTACAAAAATTGCTACCAACTGTACAAGTACTTGTATTTATGGAAATATCTTGGTTCGCACAATTGAGACAAAAAAGGAGGAAATTGCTATATTGTGGACGTAAAAATCGACGATATATCAGGCGCAAACAAAAATATAGATGAAGTAATGATGCAGAATTAATTTAAACTTAGTTGGCCCTCGCTAACCTAAGATTATCTCTTGGGAAACTAAAAAATATAATATTTACCGCTTGCATTCGCCTGTAAAAGCTGACGCTGTGCACGAGCTCGCTGCCCTTGTCGTGCCTGGTTGGAGTGGCTGCTGGCTGGTTCTTTAACGGAGACTTGAACTGCGCTCGATCCTGGTACACGAAACTTGATGATGAGAGGCACGCCGGCTGCAATATATGGCCGGTCCATAACAAGAATGGACTCAAATAGTGAGGAAATATCCACTAGGAATGTATAGAGCGAATACTAAATAGGAATTAAAGAAAGCCATAAATCATAAATTGTATTATTGTAAGCTATAGGACATTGAACTATCATTTACACCTTAGTCTATATTAGTTTTTAATTATTAACGGTGACTGTGAAAAAAACCCTAAACCTAACGGTGCGAAATCTATTGACAAATAATGTACTACAATTTTAAAGATATATGAACAACTAAAGTCCGGAATACCATATGTCTAATGAATATTGCTGAACGCTAGAAAGCCGATTTTACATATTAATGTGACGTTACCTCATTCACCTTATTAACTTTGGGAGGGGTGGGTCCCTCGTTCAATGCTTCGTCCAACAAATCATCTAATTCACTGTCACAGGCACTTTCTTCGCTATCGCTTTGAACAGCTTTTTTGTAGCTTGTATTGTTTTTCTTTACGACCTGAAAACAGTTGCACCAATGGACTTTCTCTGTGCGCATTTAACATTCGCTCGAACGATGAAGAAAAACATAGTAAGGAAACCTACTTGCCTATTAAATTGACAAATGATCATGAAACAGATACAAAAATCTGAGGCCCAGATCTAAAACGGTAGTAGCGCCACTGGTTTATTTTATTTATCTTTGTAGCAGTTGCTAAATGAAAATAACAATTATAGGAAATATATGACACACATTAAACAAAAACCAAGTCTTCATAATCGACAGATATTCCATGACTATGTTTGACGATATACGGTGTAAACGCATTGCTTTATCGATTCTCCAATGTAAATACGAATTATATAAGAATAACTTACATTCATAACTTCGCGACCAAACGACGTTTCGCCCCAATCGTCCGATTTATTTAACTTCGCGGGTATATCCTCTCTGAAATAAGATAAAATAAATCGTCATGCAAAATCAAACAACTATTCACTCATCCTTTTCATGGCTAGTGTGCATTTTGTTAAACCTTTTTGAATATTGCATATAAATTTAATCTTTGCTCTTTTGTAGATAAATTTAATCTTTGCTCTTTTGTATATAAATTTAATCTTTGCTCTTTTGTATATATATAGTTAGTAGTATCTTTCAATTAAGTTTTATACAATATTCATTATCAGCTAAGTGTAGAAAGGAATGGGAAGAATGAAAGAACAAGAATTAGGACAATATCGCTGTCTACATATAAAAAATATATGTATATAAAAGTGAAGAATTATTTTTAAACCCCGTTCTTTAACGTGAAGTAATCAAGCCGTGTTTGGTATAAACAATAGACCGATCATTCATTGAGTTGTGTAATGCTCTGTCATATTTAAAAGTGATACTACTGCGGGGACTACGGGAATCCCTACGTACTAGCGTTTTTTGTTATTTTAAGGTCCGTGGTGGACAGGAATTAGATACATGGGCCCTTCACTATTATTTATAGCATAGCTTATCATCCTTCAATAACCCAAACGAATAAACAAAAACGATTAGTTGCCGGCAAACCCAATATGTAAACCAATGTGTATACGTTATAATATCTGCGTTAACCACTCAGCTATAGTGAACAGTAGTTGTATAAAAAACCGAACATTTATCTAATTACGAGCTTTGTTCATCATAAGCTATTTTTGTCCATTGTTGACCACGGGTCGTGTGATTTTCTATGGAATAAATACTATCATATGCATAGACACCATTTTGGTAAGAGTGCTTTAATTGCAGGAAACGAACTAATTTCCATATTTCTAGGGTATTTCTATGAGATTTTGTTGATAAGGGGTCGTTCAAGTATTACGCACTAAAGGTTCTTTGATTTTCTTATTTGGTGATTACATCAATAGTAATTATTTACTTTTTTACACATTACCCTATAATTATTAGGGAAATTGTAAGAAAATCTGCTTATGTAATACTTGAACAGCCTCTAACGAAGAAAAATAACTTTGTATAACATGAGATATGCCATACCATATTTACGGTCAACTCTCAAAATAATAGGGAATAGGATTCATATTGGACTCAACTCAAATTTGGCCAACTATTAAGTTTTCTTAGATATCAATCGCTTAAAATGACTTATAAACCCGCGTCGTATTAAATAAACTTATTCAACGCCAAATATAATTCTAGAATCACGAATCACGATTGGACAAATGGATATTGTACCTAAAGGCAAATAATCTTGAGGAAACGGGCAACGACCTAACAATTTTTATAGAAAAAGCCGATGCAATCTGAGGCCAAGGTAGTAGCTGCTAGATTAATATTTATTATGATATCCAAGGCTGTACATTTTGAACACTCAAATCGTCGGAGTTACGCCCTGCCAGTATAGCCAGACGTAGGCACTCTCTTCACTAGCATTGCAATCATTCGTTACATAGCAATTAACTAAATCATGGGAGATACGCCCCGAGAGTATAGCCAGACGCATTCACTCTATTAACTAGCATCACATTCATTTGTTTCATTGCAACTAAATTATGGAAGTTACGCCCCGAGAGTATAGCCAGACGTAGGCACGCTCTTCAACAGTTACATTGCATGACATACAGACCCGAGCGGTAACGCAAGTTCGGCTCTGTACATCGAGAGCAAACAACGTATACGGCGAGAGAACGTTGGGTTTGCGACCGCGGCTAATAAATGGACAACCTAGTCAGTTTTTAGATAGTCTAACGTTAACCAACAAAAAAGTAAGTTGAAAATCTACTTTTATATGCATTTGTCGTTCCTAAACAAGACTGCTATTGTTACATTTATACAAACCACAGCGGTTTTCTTATATAACATATTATGATGTTTTTATATTATTCTGTAAATTAAATAATTTAAACAAATATAATATATCACCCCAAGTGAGTCATACAATCAGTTAATACTGTCCAAAATCGATTCAGAGTTTAAGTTAATAACAGACAATATACGGTCCTAATTTTTTATTCTATTACGCGATATTGTATCTTAGTACTAGTATAGATAGATAGTAGTATCGTAGTAGTAGCTACTTTAATGTACGAACATTATTGTTTATCTATCCGGATGTAAAAAATTCTTCTGGTCGTAGAAATAGGGATGGAAAGGTAGAAAGGATTGGTATATACCTTATATATTTCACAATGCACACAACCATGAAAAGGAGTGAATAAAATACCATAAATAATTTTATTTTTTTATTCCTTACAAAAACAGATAGAAAATTTCTACTATCACAGACAATAACTTAAGATAACGCCTTCAAATACAATGAAGGACGTAAAAAACTAAACCATAGACATCACTGTCAATAGCATGCTGAATGAAAGAGGCAGCTGTATTTTGAGTCATTTCATTACTAAAAATCTACTTAAGTATGTACTTATAAATACTCAAATACAATGCAAGAAACTAGATAAATAGTTTTCCCACATTGCATTTTAAATTTTAATACCATCTAAATAAGGTTCAATGTACTTTGCGCTACACAAAGGTAGCGAGTATTATGTAAAAATAATCGTAACGAAATATCACAAATTAACTCCTATATAAGCCGCTTTATGAACCAGTATTTATGTTTGTGCGTATATTACATTAAGTACTATAAGGCATGAACACAGTCTTTAAACTGGGGTCACAATAAACATGAATAAATCGCTTGTCACTTCTACACGGTAGTTTTTACGGCAGTATTATTTTTAATATTTAATGATAATAGTCTTGAATCAGTATATGTTATGTTATGTTAACTATATCGTGTGTTACATAGCAACTATGATTTGTCATAAGATTTCTGTTACATGATAGTTTCATGATGATTTGGATGAATTTGCGATATTATATATATGATAATTGTATAATGGTGGACAATTAATATATATATATATATAGTTTAGTTCATAACATATTTCGTGGACTATAAATATTTAGCCATTTGTTGTTGTAAAGCTTTATACCAACATTTTCGGCAAATCATTTGGAAATTATCCTTTTGTGAACCTTCTCTACCTGACACACTTTAAATGCTAACTAAATAACAGTGTTCTTTGTAGAAGATGTCATGAATGATCAATGTCAAATCCGTTCGACGTACATACCTGATTCAAAATAATATAATTTTTTTTGGGTTATTATTTCCAAATATTCGTTCATCTCTTTCTGTCAAATAATCCCTCTTCTATGATAAAAAGAGACAGTGCTATTAAAAATAATACCGCCATTTTTAATACTAGATAATAAATTACCCTAAATCTATCTAGGCAACGTACAGTCTTAATGTATTAATTGAACTAATTGGCTTCGAGCGATTGTATTTCTAACTGTTATATATAATGGGGCATGAATATTTGCGTTCGTTTATAAGCTACAAGCGTAAATGGTTCAAGTACCAGCGTCGTTTGAGTCCTATTGAACAGCTGCGAATTTTATTTTAAAACATTTTTTATTCTTTTATTAATTACATTTGTATCAATTATAGGATGTTAGGGCTGCTGTAATCATTAAAAAATAAAATAAATTTTACGATGCGGTGCCTACATAACTCTTGCATCATAGTTATTACACTGGATATATGTGATATCTTTATATATATTACCACTGTGCGTTTTGTTTTTCCTAATACGATTTTAATATCATATCGTGTGTTCAAGTGGATTCGAGAATGGTTTAGATTAAGTAGATGATTTTTGTTATTACGTGTTTGCAAGACAACGTCTTCCGCTAGTTTTAATTATTGAAGACACGAAAAAAAAACGTAATATTGTGGAGAATATTTTTGCTATACAGCATGCGTATAACGCGATTTCAGCACCATAACGTGGAGATTTCTTAATTTGTATTCCTGTGTGAAATTTATATTTTTAAGTCCATAATTAGTTTCACCTTCACAACTGTTTAAATTGTATTGTTATAAAATTAAACTAAATAACTTCATTAGTGTTCCTAGTTTTTGAATTAAAAAAAAAACGATTTTACGATACTCCTATAACGCGGTCCGGGTCTAGCGCATTATTTTTGTATTTCTTTTTACAATTTGTTTGACTTTTAAACAAATGTCCCATTGACATAATTATCTACAAATAATATTCTGATTGTCATTATGATTGGCTTATCGCGTTAAGCGTTATACGATAATGATACAAAATGCATTTATAATAACATGCTTTGGTTGGTTGAGTTTTTATATGACCACAATTTGTTAAAAAAATAGGATTTTTCGCGTCAAATAACGAAACCGCTATAAATCTTTGATAGAAATGCTTTCACTGGAATATCGTTTATAACAAAGACGCTTATATTATTAATTTCTTATTTATAGGTCGTCTATGAAGGCCTATTCGAATTGTGGTTAATTTTAACTGGCAACATTTAACAGTCTACATTTTTCGTCAAATTGACTTGTATCCAAGTAAAAAAAATATATAAACACCCGATATTAAAACAATTGTTATGTGAGAGATGTATAAAGGTCATCAAAATTAATTGACATAACGAGAAGACAGGATTGTTGTATGATACGATCCAATAGGTACCTTATTTTAAACACATAAGTCTCATTTTAACTTTACATAAACGTGGCAGTATTAAATCGATATAATATACTTGATCCGGAAAAAGGAGTCAAACATTATGTCAGACAATTTTTGGAGATTATTGACCCCCCATGTAACGGGCCGTAACGTTTTTATGTACCCAAGTATAGTAAATCGTTTCGTGACCACCTACTGACTCTTTAAACATAAAAGTAACCATTATGTGGTGTAAAGTACTGGAAAGTCGAAAATAGTATTAACAATAACGCGTATTCAATCCCCGCCCCGCATCGTAACGTTTTACAAAAGGAAACCCCCCCCCCCCCAAATTAATTACGTTATACTTGAACATTACGTCAAGCGCAAAATATATTACGAATCTATGAGATATATTGTCATTGCAGTTACTTTCACGCTTATTCATAAAAACTAAATCAGTCTAATTGCACTTTGACAAGTACTCTTTTGTCTCTATCGGTAAATTTGTATTTTCGCTGTGATGAAAAGAGACGGATGGATGAGTTAAAACAGGCCAATACTGATTTATTGCACGAATAAGAGTGTGGCGCTTACTGATGAGACGTTTGGTGTGCTATATTCATCGTTTTGTATTATTATTTCAAACTACCCTACATCGGTTTATATATGATAAGCGCACATCACATGCGTTCTTAACAGAAATAACGACTTGAAGATTTTAAATATAGTAACCGGACGTTTTTCAAAACACTTATGAATATATAATTGATAGAATGTACATTTATAAATCGAATCATCGTTCGCTTGTGATTGGTCGACAGCGTTTGACCAATCACAATCAAGCGACACGTTATTTGATTTTCATATAGTGAATTTCTATATTAAGGCTTAGTTATTACTAAGTTTCCATTGTGAAGCCCCATTTGCACCACAAAGGCTCATATGCATAGAAAGAAGAATATGCATTCCACAGTATAATAACCGCACCTAGAACCACCACAGTCAGAGTACTCCTCTTGCGTGTCTGTTTCTATGTCTGAGAGGCGTGGGTATAGACTGGTTGGTTGTTGGACCACTGCTCCATTCTCTTTATTGTTCACTTTGATCCTTTTAACGTCCTCTAGTACTGATAGGACTACGGGTGAGTCCTGTTGAGAACCTGGAATTAGAATGTTTATAATTAGTTTAAAGTTCTACAAGTTGAAACAGATTATAAAAAAAGTACTGTTTCGTCTCTTTCTGTCGTATAGTGTTTATGCTCTAATGAAAAAAGACAGATGAAAAGTTAAAACGGTGCACTGACCTTCAAGTTTTTATAAAAATCCAACTTGTGTTGTTTACAAGGAAACTTGGTATTCATATGGATTTTTACTAAGAAAATGAATTTAACATAATATCCTGAATCGGACTTAAAAAAATACTTCAAAACCAATAATTCTAATTGAGGTGTGTCTGTTTCTTTTGATTCTTAAAGCTTGCCCAAAGGGTAACGCACACAGCATATAACCATAACGTGTGGTCATAATTCCGATCGAAACAATAAGTATTGTAGCAAGGCTGAATGAAACGCACTTGTGATCCCCTTGAAGGGTTACATTTGAAACTTTAATAAAAATATAGTCAAAACCGATTACGACGAAATTGTTTAGAACAACAACAACAAACAATATACCGGTTATATTGACCAAAATCAAAGGTCCCGACTGAATTCTATTGTATTAGTTTCTTAATAACGTCATCGGCTGTTACGACTATCGGTTTTTACGACCAAATATGAATAGGCCCTTCGATGTCGTTATAACAGTTTTTGACTGTAGTATATTTTCTGAATTTCGCAAGTTTTTTCCTACAAACAGTCAGCAACTTTCTTGGTACAAAAATCTTGGCAATTTGAATAGAAGAACGGAATTTTAGATTAACAGTAATACTTACTTCTACGTTTCACCGGCTGTGCTGCTTTATCATCTTCTTTTATCTCCTCTACCTCAGGTTTAGGCACATTGCTTACAATCTCAGGTTTTCTAATCTGAGATAGGCTACTGGTACTGCCCATCAGAGGTGCCTTCTCTGAGGGATCTGTTTCATCATCATCGGAATCGTCTGGCTTTGGTGGAGGGGGTTGCTGAAAACACAAGTATATTTTATAAAATTTAGGATCTGCTTTAATTTGTAAGAAATAAAGAAGACACATGATATGATGAGCATTGACCTAGTAGTGGCTTCAGCGTGGAGTAAATCCAAGCAGGGATTTGTACCTCAGGGAGAGTCCTGAAACCACTAGGTCAATTCTGCTCTAAGTGAGCGTTCAAGTATTACGTAACGAATTTGGGGGGGAGGGGGTCCTTCTGTAAAACGTTACGTTGCGGGGCGGGGATTGAATTAGGCGTTATTGTTAATATTATTTTCGACTTTCAAGGGGCCTTAGTCAAGATGCCTTAACAGTAGTGTATGTAGAAAGTCGAAAACTTAATTTGTATGGAAATGACAGTTCGTGTCGAAAAGTTTTCATACAAATTTAGTTTTTGACGTTCTACATACACTACTGTTAAGGCATCTTGACTAAGGCCCCAGTACTTTACACCACATAATGGTAACTTGGTCAATAATCTCCAAAAATTGCATGACGTAATACTTGAAAGCTCCCTAACGCAAATTATGTAGCGAATATATAAATATATGGAAGTATAGGTTCTCTGCACCAAGAGACCAGGACATATAAAAGGGGCCTAATGTGTTCACGACTTTTAAGGCTAAAAAATATTCACTATCTATTTTAATTCACAATAGTTACACAACGAAAACATACTACATGTATGGAAACTATTTCCATAACAAAACTCATCATTATCTATGGGAAAGTTGTGTGCTTCAGAAATTATCGCCGCCCACTTACGTACTTACATCATGGGTTGGTCAACATTTGTAACATGTGTTTCAATGAGGGACTTCCTCGCCTAACCGGTATTTTATAACGACGTGAATTGATATTTTAATGTAGAGTTAAGAATGTATAAGACATTCATGTATAAGATTTATTACTAACGAAACACACACACATAAACACGCAAAATAATAATCATAATCAAATAAGAAAATTAACAATTTTTTCTAAGCAATAAGGTACATTTTACGTGTGTAATGTGTATGTGTTGTGGTTGTATCTAGCCCTGGCTCAGCATAATGCTGTGGAGGAGACGTGTTCCACAGCGCTGGTCATTCTTCCAGAGACCACAACAGTTAGTTTGCGCTTCAACGCAAAAAAAGAAAAATAATGTAATAATAGTAGAATAGAATAATTGTAAAAATTACTGTGTAAGTAAAGAAGTCTTGGAAGAGATATGTGTAAAAGCTTATAGTAAATAAAAATAAAATAAAAAATAAGAATAATTGTTACTAAAATTACTATAAGAAATAGATATTGGGCGTATTAAAAACTAGATTTCGTGGGATTTTTGATGAGTTAGATGTACTTTATAACTGTGACGAAAATTTGATTAGACGAAAAATTAATGTACAATTAATGAATTTTTGTATCTACCCTGAGACTATGTAAAGAAATATCTATAGATTTCTATCTCACTGCGTGAAGTGAGGCACTAGTGCTGCATAAAATTATATGAAGTAGGTCATTTATTTAAATTAGTATATTTAAGTAGTTTTTATAGGTATTGTTGCATTCAATTGTCCTTAATTATTATAATTATTTAATTAAGAGTAATTAACTTATAATTCAGATCTTTTTCGGTACAATCATGCAAGTTATGAATAAGAAATGTATGATTTTTTTAAGCCTAGCCTTTAAAGTCTCCTTAGCTTAGTTGCTAACATATAAACTGGCTGGGTCTCGATTATTGAAAAAAAAATCTTTGGTACAGCACCGCGTAATAACTTTAAACAACAACAAAGCGTATAACCAACTGATACGGGTTTTTATTTTTCTTTAAATTGTCATTTGTCAAATGGTTTTACGATAATTTACGATGTCAAGTACGCCCACAAATAGAAAACATTACATATACGCAAACTGTTATAAGGCCAGCATAACATTAACCTGCTCTTGTTATATTATGTTATGCTATGTATTAGCGCAAAATACTCCCATATTAGGTTTTTTAACTTTAAATAGAATAACGTGAACTGACAAAAGGTCTGATTCATGTCAGTTCCTATACTGAAAGAAGTAGTCTTTGTAAACATTTTAATATATAACTGTGTAATTTTGTATTGATTGTATGTGATATAAATGTAAATAATTGCCGCATTGGAGTGATCTGTAATGGTTCCTTATTTTGTTAAATAAGTAACCTTTCTAATTTAAAAATTATACATACAATTAATTTACTTAATTTATTAAAGCTATAAATTAATTTATATTTTTCTTCTAAATTTTTTTTTAATACTATGTCGGGGAAGAAAATTGTTAATATTAAAATACTGTATATTTATTACATATAAGTTTTATATCTACTAGAACTACCTGTCCTGGCTTCGCATTTCGGCTGGGTATTATTCATATATTATGGTCAGAATGCCTATGTTACTAAGTGATTGTAGACACTTATTCTAATAGTGATATAATTTTTGAAATCGACCCGTTTTGAGACTCTTTACAAAAATACTTCTAGTATAGGTAACTATATGTTCAACCAAGTGCGTTTGCGCAAATTCCTGTATTCAAATTAAAACTCACCTAGAACGACATTATTCTTTCATTTCACTTTAAGCGATTTATTGGAATTAGAATATTGTTGTTATTTCGCCTGAATTCGATGTGGCCATAGAATAAATTTTCTAACTACTTAAAGTCTATCGAATTTTGTATTTTATCATCGATGTTATAAATATAGTTAAGTCGTATAAATATTTAAAAATATTGATTATACGTAAACTTAACGAGGTGGATAATAAAATACAGCATAAACCATTATGTGTTTTAACAAGAATCGTTATCAAACGTGTCCACAAGCAAAACAAAACACGGTTTGCTGAGTACAAATCCTGGAATTCGAGTAAGCGTTAAAGGATACGAGACGCGAGTATTTTTAGAACTATGGGAATAGGGGAAACGTCTAGTTATTATTAACTTCTCGTGTGTTAAATTTGAATGTAATTTTTCCTATAGCTAAATATATTTGTCTATGTAATCTTGTAAACACTTTCAAATCACGTAATTTAATTCCAATTTCAAAATGTTTCGTCGTCAGCAAATAAATTTTATTATTATGTATCTAGCGATTTTGGGTCCTTAATTTCGATGTCTTAAGTCAAGAAATTCCCTAAATATTTTACGACTATTTCTTGTATTTTGCGACCACTTCAACAATAATAGCATACACTAAAATCACAGTATCTAATTTTGAAAACCATACGAAAACTGTTCGGTAGTTTTTGACCTTATTGCGTTCATATACGAGTAGAAGCGGCGGAGGGACTTCATTCTATGATTTATAATTGTACTTTTTAGTATATGTAGATAACTCGGAATATTGGCCTCTATCGACTAAAAATTAAATTCAACATAAAAATAATAATTTAATATGAAACCAATCTACGTATTTTTTTACGATTAACGTGGGTTATTATTATTTTAGTTTAAGTTAGTACTTCTGGTTTTACATGTATTTTTGTCAATTATTTCCAGTACTTTAGCCTCAGTTTATGTTTCTTTTTTATTTTCCCATAAAATATGCCTTACAAAAATAGCTTGTTAGTGATAAGTCCGCCCGTTGCCTAATAACGTATGTAACCTATTTTTATATGTATGTTTCCGTGTAAATAAATTCATATTATTCATGATGTTCACAAAATATGTGTCTGGTACAAACCCATTGGGGTATAAACCGATGTTATCCGTCAAACAAAAAACTTGTCTACACTAGAAATCTTACATTCGCAGACCAGTTTACTATGTATGCATTTCGAGTTCACGCGTTCACGGTCAGACCACATTTTTAAGGTCAAGTCTGGTCATTTGACCACAATATATGATATAGAAATGTAAAGAGACCAGATAATCTTAATAAATCTCTAAATGGTTTATTAGTTCATAACTACGCCGGAGTTCTATATCAAAAATACCAGTCGTATCTCCTACGAATCGCAATTTCTTCTAAAAAATACACCTATGTAAATCTACTTAGGTTTTTCGAAGTCGATCAACGATTCGTAGTAATTACGATTGGTATCTCTGTATAGAAACCGGCGTTAGCCCGTTTGGATTTGTGGAGTTCTATATCATGAATACGGTTCTTCTAAAAAATACACCTATGTAACTCTACTTAGGTTATTCGAAGTCGATAAACGATTCGTTGTACCTACGATTGGTATATCTAAATAGAAATTAGCCTATATCAGTCAATTTAAAACCCCCCAATCAGACAGTAGCATGTCATTTGTAAAATATGACTTAAATAATTATAATAATAACTTCATGTGCCCACAGCTAGGACTAGACTTCTGAAAAGGGCTTTTGTTAACGAATTAGACAGGTTAACGGACCTTTTTTATTGTCCGTTGATTGAACTGACAAAAGTTCCATTATTTGTGAGTGCCTATATAGTAATTAGATAGTTTTACTTTGATAATATTCTTTTTAAATTAATTTATAGTTTGTTTTTTGTTTCGTGTGCGATTTTTTTTGTTCATTATGAATTCTTGTCGATATACCTGTAAGGACAGGATTGTATATTTTGTAAATAATAAATAACCCTCACCTTATAATGAAATCTATTCTGCAGCATCTCCATCTCCTTCTCCCTCTCTTGCTTGAACTTATTCGCTATTGTTGTCTCGCTTATCGTCTGCTCTTTATTGAACAAGGCAGCCAGTTTGTCTTTTATCCCTCCACCAACTGAACTTTGACTGATATTGTCCTCAGCGAGACTGTCTTTGGAATTAGTTCGCGAGCTTTCCGTACTTTTTGGCTTTTGTGTTTTCGCTGGCGTTGGTTTAGCTGAAAATAAATGTCGTTAGTATTCAAAACGTCATTTAAATATATTGCGCTAACGGTGTTTAATAAACATATTATTTATCTGTGATGATATAATGATAATTTTGTATTTTGTTTATGTCGTACATTTAAATAATCCTAAGTTCGTCGCTAAAACAAAATGAAACGAAAACATCGTGTTCATACTATATGTATGAATAAAGCAATTATCAGTGTCGGTTATTGCGTAGGTTCGAACCCCGGGTGTGCAATGGACTGTCTAAGTGCGCATTTATCACTAGCTCGTAAGGAAAACATCGAGAGGAAAGCATGCCTTTGACCCAAAAAGACTTGATCACGGAACAGAAATTTGCGGCCCAGACGTGTGTAAATTTTACCCTAAAATTTGTCGATCGATTGAGTCAGCATTCGTCTTAATTTTATACATTTGCGATGGCGACGGTCACCTAATTGTATTTACTTTGAATTATTTTTTATTACATTTTCTTTGACAGTCGTAGGTAACACCTAAAGAGATTAAGATTATCGACAGAGCATTCAAAAGTACACGAGCCAAGGCTGTATATTTTGCTCACTCAGGATTTTTTAGTTTTATAAACGTGGCGATAACCTAAATCTTCGAAGTTACGCCCCGAGAGTTTAGCCAGGCGCACTCTTCAACATTAACTTTACATTAATTGCATTCGTTTAATCGTTAATTAGTTAATATCAATTAGCATTAATTAATTATTTCGCATTTATTATATTGTTGTGAGCCTTTAATATACATTATAGAGTAAAAAATAAGGCCTATTATTTAACATCCCGATGACCTAGGAACCCTACATTTTGGTCCTTCGAGCCGGAGCGACCTATGAATACAAAATCTTTTATTAATTTTTTTTTAATTCTTATTCACGATTCAGATTTCGGTTTGGTGTGTATACAAACACAAAAATATATTTTCAATTATATTACAGATATATAATATTTTGCGCGTTCAAAATTAAATTTAACAGGGGTTTTCTTATTTCTGATCATTATTAGTTGAATTGCGGTGATAAATAATTGATTCATTCTAGGTCAATCAACCAGGTTAAGCTGGTTGGCCTTCATGATGCTAACTGACAGAAGTGCTGTCTTTTTTACGATTATTTGACAATCAAGTACCTAAAGAATATTTTACCTAGTTTGTTTAAAACTATAATTAGAATGGCTTAGACGTCATCTTTTATATAAAACATAATTTCGTTTCTTTTATGATAATAATTTAGCAACGCTGCAAACCAAGCCATATCGTTCATGGCTTCCCTCTGTTTGTTTCTCTGATTAATATCGATTTTTGGGACTAAGAAGTCTCACCGTACCAGCAAGTGTTTGGGTACGGGGCCAGGGGTTTCACAATATCAGAGTCAATGTGACTCTCATAGCATAATACAAATAAAACGTTTTGATAAGTTATGGCCTGTATTTCCATAACTTGGAAGGTCACACATACGTAACGTAAAGCCTACACTATTTGCTTATCGTTTGTACAAACTTTATTGTCTGCATGACCCAAATTCATGTATTGAAAAGAAATTGTTCATTTGTTTCAAACGTAAAACGAATAAATATCAGACCTTAAAGTCAATACGAAGAATGAAAATTAAATTTTTGTCATTACGATGTTTTCATATAAAAATGCTAACCAGGGTAATAGGTCCACGATTTATAATATACGCTGCGGAGTTTAATCTACACTATTATAAACTTAAACATTTTGGATGAACGCGTTTCCCAACGAAGAAAATTATGATTAAAACATTACATATTTCTTTTATCGAGGAAGGGTACACATCCAGGTTCTAGGACTTAAGACTTCAAATCTAGGTCAAAACCGAAGATGGGGTTTTAGTGGCTACAGTAACTGATTTCCACTAAACCCTCCCACACATGCAATCATACCGTCAGAAATCACGGTAAAAAAGGTTCTTATCCTCAACATGACGGAATATATTTAATAGATAAAGGACAATTTTGCAACCGCTATTTAAGTTCTAAGAACTTAAACAATGCTTAAACAAGTGCAGCGTTATGACGAAATTGGTCGAGTTACAGCAAAATGACGAAATCCTTTATATTTTCTCGGCACTTTTCACTACAATTGCTAAAATCGCCGTTCTTATGACGCCAAATATCTAGTATATTAATAAATTATAAATGACAATTCAATGTTAATTAATACTTAATTTAATAACTGAATAGTTAAACATTTATCAAAAGAAACAACTATTTTCTTTACAAACGGCTCTAAGTAGGGTTGTATGAATAATAAATAATACTGTGAGGTAAAAAGTTTAACTAACAAGTTAATCTATTAACTTTAGATAAATTTTAGTTAAAATAAATGCCTTTAGCTTTTAATGAATAAATTTAAATTTCGAAATCACCTTTTAAAGTCACCTTTCAGAATTTTATTGTTTAATTAGGAAATTAAACAATTTTACAGGAACTGTTCACATGTAAATCACCGTTTATTTTTGATCACGATTCACAGGTCTTCACTGCGCGAGCGCACAGCGCCAGACAGAATGGTGGATTGACAACCGTTGGTCGAGAGCTAATGACCCAATCCGTCAATATTGCACGCATCCGAGTTACTGACTATGATTTGACATAACCGTAACCCCATAATGGGGTATGGGACAGACATATTTTGTTGTACGATAGTTCATTATAATATTATTTATAATCCAATGGGATTATTTAAAGAAGTCGTTCATGTTATTCAAATCCCTAAACGTGTGTTAAAAAAATAATAAAATAATTCTTCTCCTATTATTCATATATATGTAAAGTATGGGTAAGATTTTTTTGGTTCTGCTTTACCTAAGTAATAGTCTCTATATAGTTAACAAAAATTTAATAATATCAAATGACTTGTATGCAATATTTGTATTGTATCACTATTAAAAGTATGTAATAATGTTTGACAGTTTTGAAGCTGAAGGAATATATCATTTTACAGGAAGTTTTTCTATTTTGACTCGCATATGAGACCCTTGATAATGATCTAAGCGAATCTTATTTTACATCGAAGACCCAAAGCTGCAGTCTTTCCCCGTCTTTTATTGCAATCCAGAGAAAAAAATATCTTAGTACTCAGTAACATTTGTTTCTATATGATTTATAATTAGGCACGTATCCAATAGGTATCTAGAGACTACATCTCCACTTAAATTTACTTATGTATAACTTTTGAAACTTAAATTTGACGGTCTACGCAAGTTGGATTTCACAGAAATCAGTTTTAAGTGTTTTACATTGAAATCATTTTCTTTTAAAAATATTTATCCTTAAACCTGATGTCACTAAGATCCATGTTTGTCATTGCGCACTGTCCTGGACTTGTCAAACGAGTTTTAGTACGACGCAAAAAGGTACTATACATTAGAAGGCCAAAGAATCCTAACAATGCGAAAAACACTGTTTCTTTAGGTAAATCACGGCATAGTTTTGAAGAGTTTTTTTTTAAGAGGGCAATATTAGGTAATAAAAAAGGTTAAACTTTCTCTAAGACAAGATGGCAAAGTGTCCTTGGAAGTGGTTCGCGCTTTAATCTATTGTGTGTAAAAGGCATTTATTTCTGTTTAAATATAAACTTAACAACATTTAAATCGACATGAAAATGCGCATGCGCATCTCTAGAGATTTGAGCCTTATACACAAAACTTTCTGCTATCCAGAAATCCAGTCCAATAAAACCACCAAATCTTTCCAAAACATTAAAACCTTCGGGATCTGATATTACACATGTTAGTCTGTGCACATCGGAACTTTAAACTAAATCAATAATGCACCTTTCCGTGGATAATAATTATTACATAGAAAAACAATTTTATCTGTCCTATTACTATTAAATACTCAAAGGTTTCGCGCATCACTGACGCTGCGCCCGAGTCGCGTTTCTAAACAGCTGACTGGCCGTCACGCTTCAACGCTCGCCTAAATACCTATTACTCAATGCGCAATTGATTTTATGTAAAAAAGTTGCTATAACTTGATTAATTAGTACTAACCCGAAATTAAATATAGATAGAATAAACGCCCTAAATCTTATAATTTTAACCCCAATTGTAAATCCTATAGAACACTAGTCTAGAGCAAATGTACCTCCTGTGTCTTGACTAGAATTGTTTCTATTGTATTTGAACTCGGGACCTGATTATGAAACCAATCAACTATAGTGCGCATAAAGGTTATGTAAATAGTTAAATTACTGCTATATGACTTGTATTATTCAGAGACAAAATATGGCTTATAAAGACGACTGAAAGAGAGAGGAGAAATGTAGAATGTCCCACATTTATGACAGACCAATTAGACAATGCGCTAATGATATTATATAGGTGGCAGCAGGAAGTTCTTGATCCCAGAAAATAACATAGAGACTAGGCCTAAAGAGCATTATTCAATCAACGAAAGCTACCAATGATATTGCTAAAGAACCTTATTAATTTTCATTGTTATAATTATTTTTTTATTATTTATTTATTAATTATTTTGTATTTTTGTCGTCTACTTAAGTGATTATCTAATTAGTTTTCGTTTTCTAATTTTTGTAAAGCTATGAAACGTCCAATACTCTTATTTAATAGTCTTATTTCTGTTTGTATTAAATAAATTTATCGATTTGTGTACACGCGTTAGAAGTACTTCTTTAGCGTAACAAGATATAAATCTTTACAAAAATTTTATTCTACGTTTGTAGAAATAACGACACTAACAATAGAAAACATTCAAATGTTGACACAGGGTGTCGGCTTATTGTGACGGTGTGCGCGCGCATCGTAAAATTTAATCTCACAACTTTTTCCTAGCGCGCCAAAAGTATATAATTTCAAAAAGTATTATTCAGTGCTTGAGCAGAGTAATAGGAGCATCTAAAATATGACACAACCAGAGCGATAAAAGTTCTAGGATTTATTGATTTGTCACCTCCCAAATCAAGCAAACAACTACCTTAACACACACATATACACAATTGTAGGTAATGACAACAATCAACTCTTTGACAAGTCACATAATTACCATGATTATCGTATAAACAATGAGCAAAACATTATGTACTAAGAGAACAAATGAATTGTGCTTAGCTAACTTTCGATTTACTACATAACCGTAGACATACATTTATTATAATAACTAACTATAACGTTAACACATCAAACAAAGTAACATAAATTATTAGGGATGCAACAGGCCTTATCGCTAACAAGCGATCTCTTTAAGGCAACCCTGCTTTCAGACAAAAAGAAATACTAAAGGTATAGTGCAAGAAATGAATAACCAAATTAACAATATATTATAACAAGTAATTTTTCATTTAGTTTAGGTTATTATTGTTATTTTTTAACTTTTTAGTTTTAGTTATTATAAATTTTTAGTTTTTAATTTTGGGTTTGTTTGCTTTATTTTTTTCCGATGATAGATAAGTAATAATGTTCTAATATAATTGATATGTATGTGTGTTAAATTTGTGATGTCATATTTTCTTGTAATTTTTAGGCATACACATTGTTTTAGAACGTATAAATAAATTAAATATAAAAGATAATCGTAAGGTACCTTAATCACAATTCAAATGAAAAAGAAAATACATGAATTACAAAAAGTCACGATTGAAAAGGATAGGATTTGGGTAAAAGGTGTTCATGTGGAAGACTTTTAAAATATGTTAGAGAAGAGAGAGGGGGTAGATCTAAGAAGAGAGAAGGCTAATCGTATGAAATTAGGACTTTAGATATCATATTTTAGCGGACTAACGCCATTTTGTAGCAGAAACCTATATAAAGCGTGGCAACACCGGCGTTGACTCACTTTTATTTCGAGACTTCGTGCGGAACGGACTTGTTACTAACCTAACCTCAGTAGATTTTAAAAGTCTGAAGTACCTACACGTTCTAATCTTTTGTGTTTCCTAATATCAGAAGTGGGATTTGAACTTTTCGCTCACTTCTCTTTTGTTTTGTTTTGAGTAATCTTTGTGGTTTAAATTTTCCTTCTCTTTGTGTCCGTAATGTACGAAGTCACAAGTGATTAACATTTTAAAAGTGCTCTTTGTGTTAAAATGTTGTTTGTGTTTGTGAGTGCAACAGTGTCACATTAAATTCGGGATCGTCTAGTCAGCAAGGTAGACGAGAGATGCTTTGACAGAGGACGGCCGAACGGTTGAAGAACAGTCAAATCAATCAGGACACTGTCGTTAATGTGGGTCGTAGACCCCCTTGTAAATTCCAGAAGGATGATCTGGTCTTTGTTATTAAGAACATGCAAAGGTATGGGTTTCTGTTTTAAATTTTTGTGGTGCTAATGTGTTTAGACCACTTTGAGAACATACAAGTGTATGGGTCTCTGTTTTAAGTTATTCTGGTGCTAATGTGTTTAGACCACTTAGAGAACATGCAAAATGTATGAGTCTCTGTTTTAAAAAAT